TTTTTTTCCCTAGGGACCAGTGGGCCAGGGTAAGCTGTTGCGCATTGTCAGTGCATATCGGTTTATACCGGTGCAATTAGGCCCCCCCAGGAAACTTAATTCGAATACGTTGGTATTGTCGGTACACTCCTGTTTAGTACCGGTGGAAACATGCCAGCCAAAAGGCTTAATTCGTATGCGTAGGTAGCGCCAGTTAAAATACCAACTGAACCAATTGACTAGAGAATAAGTCCAACCAATTTGGCTAGATTGAACATTTGTCAACTAAACGGTGGCCTTCAGGTTGCTAATTGACACCAATGCAATAATACTACATTGAGAGATGAAAATATTACTTCAGTGCACCAAATAGTGTTCATATTTCTATCCTACCCCGATCACACCTAGTTTCCTAATCGCTGTTCTGCTAGTGTCTCTTTCAGAGCAAGAATCTCGACCACCCAGAAGGTCAAGCTGCACAATTTCTTAGTGCTAGAAGACAGCAGTACAAGCAGATGCTGTGGCTACGCAGCAGGCGCAGGAGATGCTCTGATGGCCACGTTTGAGCGATGAGTTGTGTTATAGCTGATTGGACCTCTGTGTGTGTCCTATTACTGTAATAAAGCAGAGTCATGCTATATAGTACTTCATAGAAAAGCTGTTGCAAACACAGATACCCTGTCATCAGGTGTTGACCCCCAGGGCCACTGGTCCCTAGGGAAAAAAACTCAGTTCGGAGATTTGAATTTAATTGAATTTGATTGATGAACTCAAATAGTATAAAGCGCCTCGCGAAGACTGAGCATACAATACGCCTGGTCGTCACTGGAAATCGACTTTAGATCATTTTCGTGTTCATTTTTCAGTTTCTTGTTTGCTCGGTGACGTCTCACCCTCACGCGGGGTCTGCTCGCGATGATAGGTTACGTCGAGGTGTTTAAGCAGATCATCTTCATTAGAGGACTGCTCGTGACTGCAGCGTTTCTTCCCTGATGCGAGCATACTGATGCCGGGCAGAGGCGCTCTTTATTCCAGTCTGGCTCTAGAACCATCTACTAGAACGGAGAAGCAATATTAGTTGATTCAGCGCCACTATGATCAACATTGCAGCAAACGTACCAGCAAACCCTGCTGCGAATAGCACGTCAGTGCACCTTGTACTGCTCCGGGTAGCTGCTAGTGACGTACCAGCGCTCGCGTGCGGCGGTTGTGGTGGCCCAGCCGCAAAAAGAATAATGAGGGCGGTATCGGCCTCCGCCATCGGCCGGTCTGATAACTTCCTGGCAAAAGTAGCACCCCCGCAAGATCGTGGAAGCGCCGGCGGCACGCCAAAAACACTTGGCTTTTATATGCATAGCTCGTGCGTAAACATGGATACATACGCGACTTACTTTCAGTATTGAAATACCAGTATAAAACCCGTGACGGTAACTATTTGGTGACAATGGAGGGTTCAGATCGTCCCGAGATCAGCGTGTATGGAGCTTTGTATAATGCCCGAACCTTTCCGTGCCACTTTCAAAAAAAGTTGCCGAAAGGTCATGCGTAAATAATGTGTACAATGTGTGTGATGCATGAGACGCCGTCATTAGCGCCACTTGATTTCACTGTGGGTGCTTGCCATGACTTGATCTCCTATTGAAAAATATCGGTTTTTACCGGCTCGTTACATTTTACTGGGGTTTTTTTTTTACAAGAAGTGGGATAAGCTACAGTTCTCACTACGAGAACAAACTGTGTTACCGTATAGCATTGTATTTTGTTTGCCCGTGTCCTTTTTCCTTTCCTATCCCAGCGAAGCCCTCGTTTTGTATTTACTGTAGGTGCGTGGCAGTGTAGTCATGGCCACGATAATAGCAAAAAAAAAAGTTACCCTGTGATGGTCCACATTGAATCCTTCTTTGTAACAGAGCGTATCCCTTGAACTCTGTCGTTGCAGTAGTGTTACTAGTAAAAAGAAGGATCAATCTCGCAAAAAAGCGGAAGTCATTAAAGTAACTTCTGTTTATCCCGCTAGCCGAAATTACTCCCACGGTTGCGAATCCGCGAAGGATCGCGCGAGATTTCGTCGAGGAAGAGGTTAAATAGCTCTCGCCCTACTCGAAACTCTTTATCTTTCTAAATGTTTTTATTAAGGCGACAGGAGAGCCCGTTTTGCCTTGCAACCGAACAAGCAATGGCGTCCATCCCCGTCATGAAGTTCGTAGCTTCATGGCCAATGTCCTGTATTTTTAAAGGCACATGATTGGCTGAGACAAATGACGTTGCGGAGTTGATTATCTGGAAGTTGTTTTAACTCGAGCCCGCAAAAGCTGTCTCTAGACTGATCAACAACGGTTTGGAACAAAGAGATTTGGACCAAACCTATGTGTACTTGCCGGATCGCTATCGGCACGACCATCTCGTTAAGTTGCGACCAGAGTCCTTATTACGTCGTTTGTTCTCGACAGCAACGGCTTTCTGAAGAGAACTAGCACTTCCCACGTATCATTACAGCTGAGTTGCTCATAGAAAGCTTGGAAAATACATGGAACTCATTTACCTCGACGTTGATCGCTTTAGGCTCGAGTATATCCATGATGCGCCTCGTATCCGAGGAGTCGACATGAGTCGCTTGCAACTGCAATTTCCACCTGGTAAATTGTCAAAGGTAATCGAATCGCAGCAAAATATCCCATGATTACAAGCGGCACTGTGTTGAACGCCTACGCTGGTGCTTATCTTCTCTAAGGTTGATCAATGACTCGCCTCATGCAAAAGTGCATTCTACGGAGTACTAGCTTTTGCCGGCAACGGGAAGTGTTCATCGAGCCAGAAAACGTAGCTCCTGTAGAGCTGGTAGAGGTCATCGTCGTTCTTGAGGCCCATTTTCCATAATTTATCGTACACGGGACGTTCGTCGAGTCCACTACCTTTCCACTTGGCGAACAGCTTTTCAGCGAAGACAGAGTCCGATATAGCATTTTTGATCCTCGTGGAGTCGAAAAGGAACTCGTCGGCCGTGGTTGGTTTGGTGTACTTGAGCGGGTGGTGGGTGTTCAGCCAGGCAAGGTATTTCAAGTACACATTGTAGAGGCTATCGTCCGTCCTGACGCCCATGGTTTGAAATTTTTTGAAGACATCGTCAGATTCATATCCGTAACTCTTCCATTTGCCGAACAAAGCATTCGTGGACTTGCCGTTCGTGAGAGCCTCATCGATCTTCGCTCTGTCAAACAGTAGTTTCGGATCACCCTTGAGCGAGTGGGAATTGAGATATGTGCGGTAACTCTGAAGCAACCATTCGGCATCTTCGTTGATCGAAATGCCCATGCTCTTCAACTTCTCCAAGACCTTGGCATCGTCGAAATCGTGGCTCTTCCATCTCTGGAACAGCGTGTTGGCGTAACCGGCGTCATTCAACGCATCATCGAGCTTCTTAATGTCGAACATGTTCTTTCC